TGTTAAAAATTGTGCCTAGTTTACTTAGGTCTCTCTCTTGTTTGTTGCCTAGAAAAGAGTTTCTAATGCATATGTAATGGAATGCATCAATTTGAAAGTTAATTACTGTCACGAAAGAAAATAGAGCAACAGCAATATTAACCATTGCTATTATGTAAGTTGTACACATACCAATTCGAAAATAATGATGTTTGTGCAGATTGATGGTTGAATCTTCTTCCCATTCAAAAACTTATAATAGATAGTGTATTCTTCACTTTATTTACCATGTCCTTTTTTTTTTCTTGGTCAAAACACAAGGCCTAATTGGCCTTCAGCTTCATAATTTGGGATGGTTTTCCTTCAAATCCTAATTCTCCATTTATTTCATTAAATATGGGAAATATAAAGTGAGGGATCTCTCTTTTCATTTTTCGAGTATCTATGAAATAAGATGATGAGTTCTGGCCTTTATACTTACAGCACTTCGGTTTGCTCTCACAATTCCCTCCCTCCCAAGCATCTCGAGTTTTAAACTCTCCTTTATCGTAGAAAAGAAAAAAAGAGGCGAGTGCCTCCTATATATGTTTCACTAAGCTTATCCGCTGGATTCCTCCTCTCTTTTATAATTGTATCGCTTAAAAATTCACATTTTTAACGTAAATCAAACAGAAAATTATTTTTGAATGAACGTACGTACCAAAAAGATGCATATGTGTGTGCTTGTGGTCCTAGCTTAGCGAAAGCTCTCTTGAGTAAATATGCACTATCATGCCTAGATTTTCTCATGGATCTATGTTTTGCCATTACTAGCACAGATAATGAAATATCCTTTGAATTGATAGATCAAAGCATCAACACTTTTACTACTTAACCTGTTTGCATATGTCTTTTTTTTTTTTTTTGGAAAGATTGTTTGCATATTTCATATGAAGGAGTTACCAAATTAATGACAGGAATAGAAAAACCTCATCCCTTGGGACGCAGAGCTTATACGGTCCCAAAAGAGATATGACAAAAGCTCAATGTCTGGCAGCCAGGAAAGAAATTAATTCATTATATGAAAAGAACTTTGTTAATACGTGTAGTCCATGCAACTAGTCTCCAGCACCAATAAGGGTAAAAAAAAATTTATTTTTTTATGAAAACATTCATGTGCTGTCTGAGGTGATTATACCCTTTAGGTTATTCTATGATTGGAGTAATCATCTCGAATTTGAATCTAAGTGGATATATAAGAAAGAGATTTTTCATGAATGTATATATTAATGATCTGTTTGAAATCCAATCGAGAAAAATGTGTGATGGCTTTGTATACCAACCTCCATTTCTGCTGAATAATATTTTCAAATGAAATATATGAAAAAAGACGTTTATTTTCTCTTTCAAAAGTAGGTATCTCTAAGAAATGATTTTGTCTGTCTACCACTGATCATCATTGTCCATGACCTCTTTGAAAATGAAATTTCTGGACCACCATTTTAGCTCCTGCAATGGCATTCCATATATCTCTACACCCTGATCATAATCCTCCATAAAAGCACTAAAGATAGAGCAAACACTTTTGCAGTTGCTTCAACCTTTAATTTCCTCGAACTCTCGACTAAAGTGGCTATACGGTCAAAGTTTTCTGTTCCTTTCACAGGATCCGCTTGTGGAAAAATGAAATTTCGAAAGGAAAAAACGAAAGGTACGTGTCTTCAAACAAACAGTACGGATTTCGGAACCTCAATTTTATATTATATCAAGGAAATGAAGAGAAATTTAGATATTGCTTAAATCTCCCATTTATTAATAGCTATATGGTTGAAGTTATTGTTAATTGCACTCAAAATCTCAGGATTTTGTGGGGGTATGGGCTAAAAAATATGGAAGTAAAAAAATATGGATTTAATGGTTTGGTGTGCATGGTCATGGTGGCAAATGGAGGGGTTAGTGTTGACGATGGCAGCAGCAGCAACATGATGATAGTATTTTAGATATTCTCTTTCAACCCTTTGAGCCTGGATTTAATAAAATGTCACACTTACAGGAAATTAAATATTCAAAGTTTCTGCTCCTGTAGAGTTGTTTTCGAAATGAAACGAAATGAAAATGTTTTCCCTTGCTGTTGAATATTTTGTATAAAAATTAAAGAAAATTTCTTTTCCATTCAAATGAAGATCGAAAAGGACTCATATTCGGTTAAATTGATAGTATCCATTGATTGAATTTGATTTGATTCATATCGATTGAATAATCAAACTGTCAGCTTTTACGTTGACCCTTGTTAATCGAATTTTTAAATAAATTATTCATATTCACATGTTAATTAAGAACATTGATTTTGTATCATATCTTATCATGTTTGAATCCCGAAGATAGCCTGTAAAGATATGTCATTAAGAGGATAATTAGAAGAACAGTCTCATCGAAATTAGTTAGATAATTCGTGTGTGATCTTGCAAATTATACGGAAGGGAAACAAAAAGAAAGGTGTAAACAATTATAGAGAAGGGAGATATGTAACTATTGAGAAATATTGATTGTCCTCGGGATCTGCAAGTGGATTGTGGTAGGTTACAAGCTGGCAAATATTGTGGTCTTGTTCCTCCTTGTTGTTTATTTTACAGAAGAGAGGGACAAAATACCAAATAATACACAGAGATTATTGGTGCATGGTGGCTTTAAGCTACTACAGTACACAGCAGCTGCTGCTGCTGCAACTCTGCAATTTGCAACCCCATTTCTGACATTAGAATCTGAAACGTCAAATTCATGTCTGCCTCACGCATTAATTTCATTTCAATGTCATTTCACCTCTGACCTCTTCCACACCCAGACACGCCCCCCTTCCCTCCCGCACACAACTCTAGGGTTTGTTTTGGACTTTGCTCTCTGTGTATCTTGCTGTCTTCTAGTGGTAATATATTCAGCTCTACTATTCCTGTATTCCTCCTATTCCGATACCTTAATAATTGTGGCATCTCATGCATTCGTTTCTTTCTTTCTTTCTTTTCTTTTCTTTTCCTTTTTTTTTTGTTTTTTTTTTCCTTACAATAGTTGGAACGCAACCCGAAATCCACAGATGGGAAATCCAATTCCATGCCTTTATTAACAACTTTTGGAATCTTCAGTCCCACAACAGTTTTCTTTTCTTTTCTTGTTCTTTTTTCCAATTTTACTGTCATGAGGTAACTTTGAGCTCCCATTAATTAGAAAAGAAGAGAAAGATGATGAGATTTAAACTTCCATTTTGTAAATAAAACTTTGAGATTATATTAAATAACAATTTTAGTACGAAAATTTAAATTATTAGATGAAATTTTAAGATATAATGCTGTAATAGAAACAGCAGAGTAAAAAAGAATTAAGAAACTGGAAACTTACACATATTTTTGTTAAGAGAAAGGAAGATGAAAATAAAGCAGTAAAAGCAGAAGAAAAGCGATCATGAAGACGTGAAGATGGAACCCAAAGGGAGAGGGTGAGTAATGATGATAATTATAAGATAGCTGAAAGGGATAAGTTCTTCCTGCAATCAAAATGAGAGGAACAGGTGATTCCCATGGCATCGTGTTCTCACGTTGAAATTGAACCAATCGCTTTCTGTACACAAATTCTTCAGTTCTGTGGTAAGAATGCATGCCATGCCACCTCCTGCTAACATCATCAAAATCGATTCACGACAATGAAACACTGGGCTCGTGGTGACCCACTTTTGTTTGCCCCATCTGGGCCAGTTTGATAGGCCGATGGCCCTGTCCTCTATGGGCTATCAGAAAGTCGAAAAGCACTGTTATTCACCTCCTTTAACAGTATATATAACTATAAGAAACAAAACAAGAAAAAAAAAATGGCACTTGAGATGGTGGTATGAGAAAAGGGAATTTTTTTTTTCTGCGTCTGGGTTTGATTTATATATATATTTGTTACTCTTATAATATTTTATTTGTTTATTAAGCTTGTAGAGCATTTAGTAAGTCTAAGAATTAATTATGTTGTGTAAAAACTGAATGAATATCTAGGTTATTAGAAAAAAAATTGAAAAACACTCAATGTTTTCTTATTTTTATTTTCATTTTTATTAGTCATCGGACACTTTCCATTCTTTAACAACACATGCTGCTACAACTTTAAAAAAATTGATTGCTATGCATTGTTTGTCATTTGTTTTATTTATTTATTTATTATGAACAACATTATGTAATGAATTTATTTTTTTTAGTTATCATACCTTTTTTCTTTACTATTTCATTCTCAAAAGTTATGTTAACATCGTTTTTATTTGTTTTTTCTTATATTATATCTCGTTTTTATATTTTAATCTTAAATTTTAATCTGTTTATGTTTTATTGTTTAGATATCAAATGATAAAATCATTGAAAAAAAAATAAAGAATTCGGTCAGCATGATCTGCTCACAAAAAAATTAATCTTTGTTTTCGAGAGCAGAATTCAATTAAAAAAATCATATTTTTAATTAAAAAATACATTTTGGGTTGTAATAAATTTTTATTTTAAAAAATCTATTTCTAAAAAAAAATTAGTTAAAAAAATACATAAATAAGAAAATAAGTTTTGGGTGAAGAAATGCATTTATTCCCTCAATTCAAATCTTTAGTTATTTTGATTGCCATTATTTTTTTATTTAAAAAACATATTACTAATCAAAAGATCTGTTTTTATCAATATATATACACACAAATATATGAATGAGAAAAATAAATTTTTTCTCCAAAACTTAAATTGTTGTCTTTCTCACTAATATTTATTTTATTGTCATAGATAAAATTAGATCTCAAGAGAACATAATAATTCAACACTGTTACTTTGGCAAATTTTAGAAAAAGAATGAATACCTTAAAAATGACATTTTTTCTAAAATAATACCCAAAAATATCATTATTTTATTAATAACAGATGACATTGTCATCTTTGCCAATAGAACTGAAAGATATCCTAGGAAATGTTTGCAAACATGGTGTAAACCATATTTTTTAAAATTTTATAATTTTTTTATGTTTTTATATTGTTGAGATATGTTGATTTAAAAAAAATTAAAAATAATTTTTTTAAAAAAAAATATTTTGAATCATTACGGCTATCAGAATCTTGAATACACCCCTAGTCGTCTTCTTTGATCCGAAGTTGAACTTCAGATCGGAAGATGCATTGTGTTGTATAGGGTCGTTGCTTGTTGAAGGAAAAGAAAAAACAAGTGCATGACCAAACCTCTTAAAGCCAAACTATATGGACTCGAAGATGCATCTTCTGGTGGTGGCACAACAGTGACTGAGGTTGACGGCATGATGGTTGGTGTTGGAGGCTCAAAGAGTGTGCCAGGCGATGCAGAAACGAGGAAAGTAAATCCAGAACTCTTATAGGAAGATAACGCCCACCTCTGTGTTAGGTTGGTTGCCATTAATGATTTTTAAAAAAAAATATTTTGAATCATTACGGCTATCAGAATCTTGAATACACCCCTAGTCGTCTTCTTTGATCCGAAGTTGAACTTCAGATCGGAAGATGCATTGTGTTGTATAGGGTCGTTGCTTGTTGAAGGAAAAGAAAAAACAAGTGCATGACCAAACCTCTTAAAGCCAAACTATATGGACTCGAAGATGCATCTTCTGGTGGTGGCACAACAGTGACTGAGGTTGACGGCATGATGGTTGGTGTTGGAGGCTCAAAGAGTGTGCCAGGCGATGCAGAAACGAGGAAAGTAAATCCAGAACTCTTATAGGAAGATAACGCCCACCTCTGATCAGGCTTGTCAATGGTGATAGAAGGCAAAACTGGTTTGTTCCCTGAAGAGTGAGTAGGAGGTTTGTTATGAAAGCTTGGAACATCCTCGGCAGCAGCATTTGGAACAGCTTTCATGTCTGAAGCTGAAGTGTTACTCTTTGCAGCATCATTAGCTTTAATAGAATCTCCTCGAGCAGCGAAGTTAAAGAGAACATTCCCTCTATCTACAGTCCCCTGAACTGAATTCCTTTTGTCATCTTGATCTGATTTACCTGAAGAGTCAAGGCCTCCCAAATTGGCCAAGCTATTATTCTTGTTAAAGAGCAGTTTTTTCCAGGAGGTGGCTAACCTAAACTCGGCAGATTTCTCTTTTGGATTTGGCAGATTGCTGTCAAGGTGTTCTAATATTTTCCGCGCTCCCTGCCTGGAATATGGAGGAACAGTTGGAACACCGACTTCAGAGCTTTGTGGTTTACTATCTGCTAACAGAAATTCTGAAGGGCCATTTGTTCCTCCTGTTTCAATATTCTACTTTTCACCAGAAAATAATCCTTCAAAAGCTTTCAAGTTTTCCACCTGAGAACTGTCTAAAGTTGAATGATAATTAGCAGATCCTCTAGAAGGAGATTCTGCAACAAATTTACGCTGTATCCTAGTCCTTTGAATGGGTCCAACAGATCCATGTCCATCATACACTGCTTTGCCCCTTGAATTCACCTGCATGCTCAAGGAATGAAGTTGAGAACAATACCAGAAAGTTTATTGATAAAGATGCTAGTTCTATAAGGACAGCAGCAACACAGAGTCACTCAGAAAATTTCTATGACAGGGCAAAAAAGATTCACCGTAGGCCCAGAAGTTCATTTTCAAGCAGCCAATGCACCTAAAATTCCACTGGAGTGTTAAAGTCCCAACCAGGGCAAAACAAAATTGTTAAGTGCAATATTTTTTTTTTTTTTAGCTTAAAAACATATTCCCCCGCCCCACTGCAAGTTCACCAATATGCCAAAAAATTTAATTTTTCTTGTCCAAGAAAACAAACGAACATGATGACATCCAATTGAAACAAATCACAGAGTGTTTCCACACAAATACACAAACCTGCACACGTGGAAAATTTACCTGTCCATAAATTTTATTTCTCTCTTGTCCTAGATAACAGATTAACATGATGGCATCCTGTTGAAATAAATCACATTCTCAAGACAGAAATACATGATGATGACTACGAATATGGAAAATTACCTGTCCATAACGGGAGTTTGAGACTGCTGAAAGGCAGATGATGTCATGTTCACGTGCCTATCATTATCACCTTGTAAATGAAGCAACTGATGATGTGTAGAAGAGAGAACAGTCATTTACATGTGATTAAACATGTCCACAAAAAAACAGCATTGGCATAAGAAAACTTGGCTCCACATACCTGGGACTTAGACTTTGAATAACTAGTTCTAGAATAAGGAGGTCGGGGGAAAATGCAAGGCCCAAATCTCTCTCTTTGACCTTGAGGAGTCATAAACCCACGCTGATACTGTACCATGGCACCTGGCCAGCATGTGGATGACTTGGGTGAAGGAGATGGCGAAAATGGCTTTAATGCAGTCAAATTGTCATGAATTAATGCCCCTTCATCTTTTGTATTTAAACTCTTAGAGCCAAAGCCTGCTTCTGATATTCGGTTTACCATATAAGCCCTTGCAATATCAATTGGTGAGGCTCCAACATCATCTGGCAGCTGTGAGACTACAAATAAATACCAGAATCATACATATAAGAAAATGAAAACACAATACGCATCCAATTTTGTGTACTTCACTTGTGCATGTACAAAAGTAAACCATTTTAGCAATATCAATGAAAAAGAAAATATAGAAATGCATTAATTTATGTATGTATGTATATGTGAATAGAACTTAGATTCTTGGCTTTCTTTTTGTTGCGATTTCCTCGCAAACCTTTCCAATTGGTTCAATGAAAGAAAAATGAAACTTCTTCCTTGGAGGATGTGAGTGGACAGCCATGCCACTGTCAAAAATAGTGTCAAGGACTGATGTCCTATCCCCCACCCATAAGCAGGTGCAATAACAATTTCTAAGTCAGAGTTTGGTCAAGTTATTTACTTTAAGGCTTAATTCGAACAGGATGCTGGAAAGATAGGTTATATTAGTGTGTGCGCGCGTGCATGTAGATGTATATTAAGACTAAGTTCTAAAGGCAACCAAATAATGTATACGCTATCTCAAGAATGATCTTTTGCACGTATCTTACCTGATATGTGAAAATTCAGCGATTGATGCATGAAAAAGTACCTGAATTGAGTGAAGCATGTGCCTTGCACAACTTATATACATGGTACACAATTTATAAACTCAAGCTGCATTGAAAATGCAAGTTGATTGAGATTTGTTCTACTCACAGTTGACTTGACAAGAGGGATCGATTTTCCCCAAATAGCGGTTTTCAAATTTTCATGCTTTTCTTCAGTTGACTTTCTTTAATTTTCAAAAGGGATTGCAGGGCTTCTAGCGTCTCCTGGAATTACACTTGAATATCTCTTTTTATTTGTTTATTTTTTGAGGTTCCCCAGATAGCGGTATTCAAATCTTCCTGCTTTTCTTCAGCTGACTTTCTTGAATATTCAATGGCAGTAGCGGGCCTTCCAACATCTCTAGCAATCACGCTTAAGTGTTCCTTTTCTTGCTCAACATTTGGAAAATCAACAACCCTTGAATGAAGTATCTCCATCAAATGATAAATTTCATCCCTGCATAATGATAGAGAAAACTTGGAAATTTTCATATTTAGATTATCACAACGAGGGTAAATGTCAGTTCAGTAGCGTTGGGGGAGCAAAAGTGTTCCCATAAAGTCCATTGTTTGATCACAAATTGACCATTACCTAGAAAATTGTCTGTCCTTCACTAGTTGTTCGATTTCAGAAAGCCCATTATGATCAGACATGCCCACTTTTTGATGTTGTTCATGGCCCTCAAAGTCGGATCCACTCTCGGATACTTCTGCCACTCTGCTAGTACCAGCTGCATCAGTTGATCTGGATGCCACATGCTGCAAGAAATAATTCCCAACGGTGAGTCTATATTGTTCACAGAAAAGCCACAAGATATAGAACCCAAACAAAAGCTTATGTTACACTACACTGTCGTACAACCAGTCCATGAATACATCAATATTCAATCATAATATCCTCCCCATAAATGCTTACAAAAATACATCACAAACTTGAACTTCATATTCTTAAATCCGAATCAATTCCAGTTTAAAAGGAGCGAAAGAACAAAATAGCAAACATATATTGCTATCCCTGATAAACTGTTAGAAGAATACATTACTCTCCAAAACACAAACGAAACTGAAAAAAAGTAGGATGAGAGAAAGCATGACATGAAGGGGAAAAAAATTGGAAACGAGGTTTGCTGTTTACAAACTCAACATGCGAGTGAATTGCATCAAGAACATCACGTGTCTTTCTGCATCTAGAGAAATTCAAAAGCACTTAAGAACTTACAAGCTGATTAGATCGAAACGTAATGATTCCAGCAAAAGGAAGTTAAAGCAAGCATGTTTTTCAAATATATCGACCAACTAGACTGAGCTTGGAATAAGTCAAGCAGCACACTTAATTTAGAGCCCAACATTCCTTAATTCAACTCTTTTGATTAAGAGTTTGAACTTTTTGCTCATGAATATTAACTTTGCTTTACCTCCAGCTCCTCGATCGTCCAGCATCGGTTTCGGCTCCGAAGACGTCGTTTGTGGTTTCCATTTGGTTTCGTTCCTCCCTTTCCGTGTGGGCTGGTAGTAGTGGAAGTAGGAATTGACTCAAGTACAGAGAGAGTCCGGTCTTGCTCTTCGGTGTGTGTGTTTTACTGACAAGAAAGGAAGGCCACGCATGGTTTCTTGCTGTGTTATGTTTTTATGCCTTTTTTGAGCATCCTCCAATTATTACATATGTTTCAATTAAGTGTTATAAGTTTCAAATGTCCCTCTTCATGAATTATTAGCAATGTCTTAGATTATGTGTCTTGAGAGGTCATTGAAGAACAAAGAGTCATTATTGGAGTATAATAATAGGGGTTTTTATGGGTTTTTTGGTTGCTTTTATGTGCTTTGAATAGTACAAGTAGAGAGTTGAGAGTCAACATAGAAAAGATGGGTTTGTGCGAGGAGTAAGTTGACAGGAGGTTGTGACAAAGGAATTGAGTATGCTGGTCATGAGTTGGGCCCCAAACATAATGTAAATGGGCTAGAATCCGTTTGGTAATAAGATTGAAACTACATTCTTTAAATTTTAAATTTGTTTTAGTTAAAAAAAAATACTTTTATATATTTTTTTAAAATTATTTTGATATTCTGATTTTAAAAATAATTTTTAAAAAATAAAAATATTATTTTAATATATTTCTAAACAATAAATATTTTAAACTGGAATTACTATTACAATTCTAAAACCTAAAGCATCTGGAATTTTATTAGGAGATTTAAGATTCAAAGCATGAAAGGATGGAAAGGACAGCTATTTGCGTTTTGCATAGGCTAAACTTTTTCAAATTCTTATAAAACAAAAATAAAAAAAAACAAGTCTACTTAACTTTGTGACTTGTAATCAAGTTTAATTGGATATATATACTGCTTGAAGTTATTCAAATATAACGATGACACACACACACACACTATATATATATATATATATATATACTGGAAGGCAGCTGGGTGGTATCAATTTATACCACAACTATTTTTTTTAGAAGAAATTAGGTTTTTCAAATAGATCATTCTAGTAAAATTCTTTAACAAAAAAATATTAAATTTCATTAAAAGTAATGTCTTTTTTACATATTTAGATATAATACAGATGAAAGGCAAAAAAATTGAAACTTTCTATATAAGTGGGGCATTTTTTTAAGATAGCTCCACTAAAAGGATCCATAATGGGCGTCGTTATTTACAAATTATGAGGGAGGGAGGAAGATTATAATTTGAAGTCGATCCATGCCATCATTGTCCCGAAATATTTGGTAAAATGCTACAAAGCAAATCAAAGAAATCCCATAAAGAATCATCCTCATCCAACAAATGTCCGATAGAGGTCCCAATAATTTTAGAGAAAATTGCTTCACTTTTACAATACCCTTTCTATGGGTTTTCCCTTTTTTTTTTTGTATTTCTCCTTGTCTTTATTAATATATAGAGCATGTAAAAGCAATAGATAAATAAAGAAGGTTGCTTGTCTTTGTCATATATATATATATATCAACTTTCCCGCCTGTGGTTAGATAAAAAGCCCTTTTTATTTATTTTTTATTTTGAATATGGTAAACATTATGATCATCATCCTAGATGCTTAGGGTCACATGTCCATCAATGGAGGTCAAGTCAATATCTATCATCGAGTATAGTTAAATAATTGTTACCATCGTATTTTTATTCTTTATATTCTAAAAATTCTGCTCCAACATGCTGCTCTTCGATTAGCACAGACAATTTTGAAGTATGGCCAAGCGTCATGCCCACGAAATAAGACCCGTGCACGGGTCTCCAAGGCTAGGCTGATAAATACAAGTTTTTATTTTTTTTCTTTGGTTGGTAAGATAGATGACATGTTTATTTTAAAAAATAGATGATGTATTGATTGAAACTCTTTAAATTTGTGGTTGGAAAAATAAAATTTTTATTTTTAAAAAATTATTTTCAATTTAAAACATTTAAAAAACATCTTAAAAATCTTGTTAAACAATTCATGACCTCTAAAAATATAAAATATCATTTCAAAATTCAAAATTAACTTTAAATGAAAAAAAAAATTCGAGTTCAAATATGTTTTTTAGACACTTTCAAGATAAAAAGAAACACTTTTAATTTGAACTCATCTCATTATATAAAATTATTTAGCACAAAAATCAATTGTTTTAATGGATAAAATCATTGTAATGACATCTTTCTTTCTCCACATCGGAATTTAGTGAGCCCTTCAATTTTTACTCATAAAAAAACTAAAAAATAAAAAAAATAAAATTTGTTATTTAAATTGAATTATCTAAAATTAAAAGGACAAGTCACCTACCTAATAAATTAAAAAGATAGAGGACTAATATGAGCTTTTTAAATAAATTTTAAAACTACTACCTATTTTATTTTTTTTATTTAAGTCCTTTATCTTTTAATTTAATACTTCTTTAAAAAATATATATATATACAATTGAGTGTTAATTTGGACTTAATTATGTAAAATAAAAGTTTAAAAACTACATAATTTTTTTTAAAAAAATTCATTACTATAATCTATATTGATATATGAGAGAATGAACAATAATAGCTATAAAATAACACTAGCAGCCCTTTTAGTTTCTTTTAATATTATAGTTATTACTATTCTTTTTTTTTTGTCTTCATCATTGAGTTTGAAAATAAATTTTAAATAGGAAAAAAAACATTAATATTATTATAGTTAATAATTTCATCAATAACATCATCTTCATATATTTCTTTGAATGATACATCAACTCATGGTTTATTAATTATTATCCTTTAAACCTCTATTATTTAAAATAATATTATTATAAAAACTATCATTATGCTTTTGATGATATTTCTTTTCGATTCAGAGCATTTACTCCTTATTCGTTGTTACATCAAAATAGCAAATCATTGAAGTTTGACTTGGAGTTTGATTCACAACACATAATTGTTCACTCATAATATTTTAAAGATTGCAAGCATATAATAAGTTTAACCTAAAATTCATTTATTGATCAATCAAAGTTGTTTATTGAGAGTGATCTCTCTGATAAGAGGTTTATAATAAAAATAGTAGAGTTGATATATATCAAACTTATGAAAATTAAAATTATCATGGATGGCAGGTTTAGGAAATAAATAAGGTAAATATTATTAATTGTTTTCTAATAAAAAAAGAAATCAAAGAAGTAAACAACTTAATTCAATCATAGAATTATTTCAATAATTTAATAAGTATTCTGTATAAATTATTATATTAAATTTTCTTGCTTGTTTAGTTATATAAACTCTATATAAATGACGTATAATCTATCAAATTATCAATAACATTTTCTTGTTTTAAATTTTCACAAGCACAATGGCGGGCTGCTGATAATCCACCTGTCAACATAAAGTAACAGGACAAAGAGAGGAGAGCTAAGGAAGGAATAAATAATTGCAGATAATAATACAAGTATCGACAGGAGTCAAAGAGGGGAGGAGGTGATCAATATCTACAGTACTGAACATCTGTTAACATCTGAGGACAGAATCAAGTTCCGCATGCTCTAATCAATAGAGGACCACATTCACACCGAAAGGAGTTACCTTTCACTTCAAGGCACTACTCCTCTGATAGGACCAGTTCGGCACTAGCTAGTGAAAGCCCTTTGGAGATACTAATCAAAGAACAATCAAATCTTGCATTGTTAAAAGACTTTCTACGAGTGTTAACTTCAGATTAAGGTCCTTAACATCAGATTAGCAAATGAGTTGATATTTAACTTCAGATTAAGGTCCTTAACATCAAATTAGTAAATGAGTTGATATTGGATTCTCCCCTCTAATTAACAAATGATTGTCCTGCAACTTGTGAAAACATCTGAAGGAAGATGTTGAAACTCTGGAAAAGACTTGTGATCTGACTTCAAATGGACCCAACAGTTGCTAGAACTCAATGGTTATAGATTATTGGTAAGTAACCAGCTAACATTTCTTGTTAGATTCTGGCTATATCACACATTCCCAGCAAGCCTACACCATGTGCTGGTAGTGCACTTAAAGGTACTTCTAACACCACCCATCCGTTTATGTCCCCACACTGCATAATTTTTAGCCCCATTGATTCCATAAGCAGCCCATCAATCAAATCTGGGGGGAAAAACATATAGAGCTGTCAACTAGGCCTACTGGCTTATGCAGGAAGTTAAATTTAGTAGTTGGTAGCATTTTCTTAGTGTATAGGCAGAGTTTATTGGATCAGCTCAGCTTGTTGATGCCTTTCTAATCAACATCACATATCAAAAATTCGCTACGTTTGGTTTCCGCCTATATTAACCTTAAGTTCCAACCGAGACTGTTAGTAATTAGATGAATGCAAGAATGCAAAAAATGGAAGGCGAGAAAGGATCTGCTGATTATCCTGAGCCAAGAGACACCTTCAAGATTGCTTATATAATCCATTTTTTGCTTGGTGCTGGTAATTTGCTTCCATGGAATGCTTTCATCACAGCTATTGATTACTTTGGCTATCTCTATCCAACCAAGCACATTGAGAAGGTCTTTTCTGTAGCTTACATGAGCTCTTCGGTGCTAGTTCTAGTAATAGTCATGAGTTGGGGTGGTTGGAGCAAGAAGTTAGGTTACAGATTGAGAATGAACATGGGATTTTGCATGTTTATACTCTCTCTAATGGTGGCTCCTGTAATCGACTGGTCTTGGAGCAGCAGTGGGCCAAAACGGAGCTCAAATGGAGCCTATGGTGTGACGGTTGCATCAGTTGTGGTTTGTGGTATAGCTGATGGCTTGATAGGAGGAAGTTTGATAGGAGCAGCTGGAAAGCTTCCAAAACAGTACATGCAGGCTGTTTTTGCAGGAACTGCCTCTTCAGGTATTATATAATACTGCAGCTTCTAACTTCCCTTCTCATTTCTTCCATGATTCAACAATTAAGTTCTAAATGTGATGAAGCATATTCTCTCTTTCCAAAGTATGAATTAGAACCAACCTACCTATTCGTTCATTAAAAAAATTTCTACTGTTGGAGAGAGTTTGAGGAAGATAAATAGCATCCTAAGGGGACTCTTGTTGTTTTTCCTTCTTTTTAGGGCCAAAAGTTATGGATGCACTTCCTAGAAGTTATATCAAGGCACAAACCTTCACTATTTTCCTATATTAATTAGAATAAGCAGCCATTTCCAGCAATAGCATGCTTTTATTTTCCCAATCATTGCCAACGAGGACTTATTTGGCACAACATAACTTCTGAAAAGACATGTACAGTTTTCATGCCAAGTGGAGCAGCGAGTGATTTCTGAATTTCAAGAGTTTTGGTATTGCAGAGTATTAGAGCCTCATTGAATATTTGCCATTTCCTCCCTGAAGTTGGTTTCAAATTGCGTACTTTTTAGCAGATTTTTTTAGGAGAAGATGGAACATTCATGTTAGTTGTCTTGCTTGAACTTTATTTTGCCTGTAAGAAGTAGGTGGGTGAAAAGCAAAGCTTCTCTGGCCAAGCAATATTTTTTTAGACAACTCAAAGAATCACACTCGGATCCTCTGACAACATCAATTCCTTGTAACAGGTGTTCTCATTTCCATCTTGAGGATTATAACAAAGGCATCACTCCCCAAGAATCCTCAAGGTCTCCAAACGAGTGCCCACTTCTACTTTATAGTTAGTGCCATCATTCTGCTGTGCTGCACTCTCTCTTGCAACTTGTTATACAAACTACCAGTTATGGAACAATATTACAAACTTACTCCAGATGATTCATTGTGTCCAAAGCCAGAATTTTGGGCTGTAGCAAGAAAAATCCGATGGCCAGCTTTTGGAATTCTCATGATTTATATAGTGACTCTTTCGATATTTCCTGGTTTCATAGCAGAAGATCTCACATCCAAGATACTAAAAGATTGGTATCCAGTTTTGCTGATAACAATATACAATGTTGCAGACTTCACAGGGAAATCCTTAACTGCAATATATGTTCTAAAGAGCATCAAGAAGGCAACATGGGTTTGCATTCTCAGGCTTGTTTTCTATCCACTCTTTGCAGCTTGCCTCCATGGACCCAAGTGGCTGAAAACTGAATTAACAGTGGCAGCTCTGACTTTCATGCTCGGAGTGACCAATGGCTACCTGACAAGCGTTCTCATGATCCTTACCCCCAAGTCAGTATCAGTTTCAGAATCAGAGTTATCTGCAATTTTAATGGTTGTGTTCCTAGGAATAGGGTTAGTTGGTGGATCGATTAGTAGCTGGTTTTGGGTCATTTGAGTCTGTTTGGACTGTCAGGGCTATTCGGAAGCAGATTAGGTTCACTAGTAAAATTCAAGAACTATGGCTAATAGAGCTTAGCATTAGGAATAATCAATGGCAATTCCGATTACATGGTATGAATTTAGGGTGTGTTTAGCACAGTGCTTGTTGTTTGAAAAAAAATATTTTATAAAAATTATTTTTGGTCGAGGTTAATTTGATATTTATATATATTTGGTTAAAATCATGATTGAAATTTAAATTGAATAAAAATTAGTTTAATATATTTGGTTAATAATATTTATAATTGAGGTTGTAAAATAATTTTTAAAAATATATATTAATATTGATAGTTTTTAATTTAAATATTATAAATTTAACTATTGTTATTATATCATGAAATAAATAATACTATATATAAAATATTTTTTATTGTTTCATTAAACTATCTACAATTCCATTATATATAAAATACATCCGGTAAGAATTATAATTTTTTTAGTTTCTTAAGCACGCAACAACATTAGGTAAAATATAATTAGTAACAAAATTAGAATTGCGATCAAATTCTGTAATTGTTATGTCATCAAGTGATTTCTATCTAATTTATATAGTGCCATTAAATAATATTAGTTTTTTGAATAAAATATAATTAAAAAAATAAAAATAATTTTTATTTTTTATTTTACTATATTGAATCTGGTTTAATGCATATTAAACTTTGAACTGGACTTGTCTAGCAAAAACTAATCTAACCAGAATAATAAAGCTGCTATACTGTTTAGTGTAGCATGTTACTTATCCATGTTGATTGTATTATTTATTATTTACTAAATAATACAATTAGTATGAATAGGTAACATGATACACAATATATGTTAATTGTATTAGTTATTAGATAATATAATTAGTTTTATTTATAAAAAATATTGTGAGATTTATGAATAATAAAATTTTTTTATTAAATAAATTGTATTTATGTTTTAAATAAAATACTAACGCAACCTTTTTTTAAACAAACGATAGCTTATAGCTATCAGCCGCAGCCGCTTTCGTGTTGTGTGTGTGAAAGTATCCTTGTCCTTTCTGTACTGAAAAAGATTAAAATTAGATTCTTCTTTACCCTTGATAAAGCACAGGTCTGTCTTCCCAATATTCCCCTTCACACTCGAAAGGCTAATGTTACAGGGGCCAAACGGCCTCAAACATACACTGAAAGATACCAAAGCAAAAAGGAATCTCGCTGATATCTCTAAACATGTGACTCAGAATCCCCCAGTAGCTGTTTGTTAATTTTTCAGAAAACAATGCTATAATGATAGAAGATTCTATTTGATAAGGCAGTTGAGATTGTTTTTTTAAATATTTTTTATTTAAAAATATATTAAAATAATATTTTTT